TATATCACCTAAATGGGTACACGTGATATAGACGGGCTTTAGCAATTGACGAGCATTTCTCTGTCTCTTGGGTCGTGCTACTCGAAAGGATTGATTTTTAGAATCTAAGCTTACTTGAAGATCAGACGTGTATAACTATAGATTTATACACACACAGACGTAGTGAGAAATGGATAATAACGCTAGTTCTAATAGCTATGGTGGTTGATCTCATAGAGCTTGGTGGCCCTGAAAAGGACCGTTTTTTTGTTCCGAAGAAACGACAATTTACTTGGAGGAAGTGTACTTGGTGACAGCCTTAGTACCTTCAGACACGGCGTGCTTAGCCAGTTCACCAGGAAGCAGAAGCCTAACAGCAGTCTGAACCTCCCGAGAGGTGATAGTCGACCTCTTATTATAATGGGACAGGCGGGAGGCTTCAGCGGCAATTCTCTCAAAGATGTCGTTCACAAATGAGTTCATGATGGACATGGCTTTCGAGGAGATACCGGTATCAGGATGGACCTGTTTGAGAACTTTGTAGATGTAAATGGAGAAGGACTCCTTCCTCCTGCGTTTTTTCTTCTTCTTGTCCGTGGCACGAACATTCTTTTGAGCCTTACCAGCCTTCTTCACGGCCTTTCCTGACGGTGCGGGCGGCATCTTTTTTCAAATAAAGGCATCCCTCGACCAGCTTCTATTTATCGAGATTTGCTGCGCCGTCAGCGGACCTTTAGTGGAGAGGGAGGCTCTTGTGAGAAAAGCTCCGCTCTCCCAATAGCGCGCTCACACGCCTATAAATAGGACTCAGTAGAACTTCGAAAGCCATCTCGTGTTTGTTGTACCTAAATCGAACGAAACCATGTCTGGACGCGGCAAAGGCGGAAAATCCAAGACGAAGGCAAAGACCAGGTCTACGCGTGCGGGACTTCAGTTTCCCGTCGGTCGTATCCACCGTCTGCTGCGCAAGGGCAGTTACGCCGAACGTGTTGGGGCTGGGGCCCCCGTGTACCTTGCTGCCGTCCTTGAGTACCTTGCCGCTGAGGTTCTGGAATTGGCTGGCAACGCCGCCCGTGACAACAAGAAAACCCGGATTATCCCTCGACATTTACAGTTGGCCATCCGTAATGACGAGGAATTAAATAAGCTTCTATCTGGCGTGACCATCGCCCAAGGTGGTGTCTTACCCAACATCCAGGCTGTCCTTCTGCCTAAGAAGACCGAGAAGGCCCAGGCTTAAGACTCTCGCAATTGAAAAAACGGCCCTTTTCAGGGCCACCAGATGTTATAGGATCATATATTAGAAGCATTCTTTAACATTTCTTTAATCAATTTAACATAATATATTTATATAGATCATATCTGGTAAGTGGTGGGATGCTATATAGACGCGGCATCTACTTCTCAAATAGCAGACGAATGCATTTGATCCTGCACAATAATCCTTTGGTAATTAATAATTTCCGTAAATACCTCTGCTGAACACCAGGGCTTTTCCGGCCAACAAAACTAGGAATGATCTCTTTAGTCTACACAAACGGCCTTTTACAGGATTGCTTGTCTGTTCGAATAAAATCATGTTTTGTATCTTCTAAATGAATTTTAATATAATTTCAGTAGATTCACGTTTAATACGTGAGTTAAATGAAATGACATAGGAGACATTTGTTATCAAAGTCTTGGTCTGTTAAACGCATGCTGTTCGTCTTGGTTACCCTTTGATCCATTATTTAACTCAAGAAAACCCTCCGGACGTTGACAAAAGGTCATTAAGTCGTATTCGATTACATTCAAAACTTTTATACATATGTATCTCATGAATGACGTTCTTTGAAATAATCTGGAGGACACCACGAGTCTCCTCGTAAATTAGACCAGAGATATACCTGACACTATCACGGTAAGCCAAGCGGCGTGTAGCGGATTTAAAAACACCCTGAATATTATCACGAAGAATCTTTCGGTGACGCTTAGCTCCTCCTCTTTCAAGGCCCTTCCCTCTTTTTTATCACGGCCAAAGATGTTGCTTTTTCACTCAACTACAAGCAGAATGTTTATGAGGACGTGTTATCCTTTATGGTTAATCAAGGCACCATGTATGCCGATTTAACTGTCCCTAGTATCTTTTTGCCCGCCCATAACGATGTAGGTATTCTCTTATTTGGTATTTTGAAACGCTTTGGCGCGCTAAAGGGATGCGATCACCAATCAAGTGGTCACGTGACTGAATTCAGATCTTTGTTCGGCGACCGTTAAGGCTGCGTAGTTTATGTGCACCAGCGTAGAGTAAAATAAGGACTGCTTAAGCTATTTTTAAGAAGGGCTATAATAAGCGCTTATACTTATATCGCGTGGCAATAATTTGCTGTAGCAATCGTTTGATTTATTGGGTATAAAATATGTGGATAAATCTTCTTTTTTAGCTTCTGGCTAATTTACCCGGGTTCATGAAAGTGGGTTCTCTAGTGTTTAGTATAAGGGTCTTCGTATCATGGATGATGAGGCGGGGGTTTCTTATTGATTTTTCAGATTTCTACAATGACTCGTTGCTATTCCTTGCCATGGAACGACTTTATTTAAAATTTGCCAACTATATTCGAACTCGTGATGTCTCCAAGTTTATCCCAAAATTTTGTGCGTCGGACCTATATTCTCAGGAATTTATGGGTTCAACCAACTTTATGTTCTATATTATATTTATCATTACGTGAACTTGGAGTATAAAGTTTCGAAAATTAGATCAATAAATTTAATAGCTTTTAAGGATTTTTATTTTTGAGCGGAACAATATTTTATTACCATATAAGCAATGTTCTGTATAAAAATACTCTCAAATAGATGAGTTAACGTATTTCTGGGCGGGCTAATATAAATGTGTAAATATCTGTGAAATCAACTTGTACCATGAGGTTAACAAATACCTTGAATTCAAACTTTTTCGGCATTTTCCTCATGACATTATTTATTTAATGCTTACCCGATCCTTTTCTACCAGATTAATGTCCAAATCAGCGTAGGTTTATCATGTATCCTGCGTCACCTGACACGACTCAGGAAAGAAAATCTTCGTCATGACCGCTATTAAATAGGCAAATTGTTCATTTTGATTGGAACATGCTGCAATATAAAACGCATATTAAAGACATTGCTTCATTCATTTTTGTTATACGCGATTCATTCCATAATTTTATAGTACCTAAACTAACATAACTAGAAAAACCACTAATTTTGTTAAAAACCTCATTAAAACTCATAAAGAATCAAATCAAAATATCTCAACAGCAAAATGTTGGTTAAACATAGACAGAATCCAAGCAAAACGGTATAGCACAGTTCATTTCAAAAGTTTGAATTAGGAAGTTTCTGAGAAAAGACCAACACACACATGTAACAAAACTCTACTTCAAAATGCAAAAATTCCGCATTTTTTACTATAACAAGCTCGGCATTCACTTTAAACACCAGCTCGAAACACGAAGAATATGAAGAGATTGTAAAGTGGTTGATCTCGTAAAACCTGGTGGCCCTGAAAAGGGCCGTTTTTTGTGCCGAAGAACCGACGATTTACTTGGAAGAAGTGTACTTAGTGACGGCCTTGGTTCCTTCAGACACGGCGTGCTTAGCCAGTTCACCAGGAAGCAGGAGCCTAACGGCGGTCTGAACCTCCCTAGAGGTGATAGTCGACCTCTTATTATAATGGGACAGGCGGGAGGCTTCAGCAGCGATTCTCTCAAAGATGTCGTTCACAAACGAGTTCATGATGGACATAGCCTTCGAGGAGATACCGGTGTCGGGGTGGACCTGCTTAAGGACCTTGTAGATGTAGATGGAAAAGGACTCCTTCCTTCTGCGCTTCTTCTTCTTCTTGTCCGTAGCACGAACATTCTTTTGGGCCTTACCGGCCTTTTTCACAGCCTTTCCTGACGGTGCGGGCGGCATTGTCACTCGAATGAGGGCACCCTTCGACCAGCTGCTATTTATCATGATTCGCTGCGCCGACAACAAAGCCAAAGTGGAAAGGGCGTACTTGTGAAAGACGCTCCGCTCTCCCAGTGGCGCGCTCGCAATGCCTATAAATACGACTCAGTAAAACTCCGAATCATCTTGTTCTTGTTGTACTTGAGCCAAACGAAACCATGTCTGGACGCGGAAACCTTCGTTTTCGACTTCCCCCCCTTTCCGCGTCCAGACATGGTTTCGTTTGGCTCAAGCACAACAAGAACAAGATGATTCGAAGTTTTACTGAGTCGTATTTATAGGCATTGTGAGCGCGCCACTGGGAGAGCGGAGCGTCTTTCACAAGTACGCCCTTTCCACTTTGGCTTTGTTGTCGGCGCAGCGAATCATGATAAATAGCAGCTGGTCGAAGGGTGCCCTCATTCGAGTGACAATGCCGCCCGCACCGTCAGGAAAGGCTGTGAAAAAGGCCGGTAAGGCCCAGAAGAATGTTCGCGCTACGGACAAAAAGAAGAAGAAGCGCAGGAGGAAGGAGTCCTTTTCCATCTACATCTACAAGGTCCTTAAACAGGTCCACCCTGACACCGGTATCTCCTCGAAGGCTATGTCCATCATGAACTCGTTTGTGAACGACATATTTGAGAGGATCGCCGCCGAGGCCTCCCGTCTGTCCCATTATAATAAGAGGTCGACTATCACCTCTCGGGAGGTTCAGACCGCCGTTAGGCTCCTGCTTCCTGGTGAACTGGCTAAGCACGCCGTGTCTGAAGGCACCAAGGCCGTCACTAAGTACACTTCTTCCAAGTAAATCGTCGGTTCTTCGGCACAAAAAACGGCCCTTTTCAGGGCCACCAGGTTTTACGAGTTCAACCACTTTACAACCTCTTCATATTCTTCGTGTTTCGAGATGGTGTCCAAAGTGAATGCCGAGCCTGTTATAGTAAAAAATGCGGATTTTTTGTATTTTGAGATAGATTTTTGTTACATGTGTGTGTTGGTCTTTTCTCACAAACTTCCTAATTCAAACTTTTGAAATGAACTGTGCTATACCGTTTTGCTTGTATTCTGTCTATGTTTAACTAACATTTTGCTGTTTAGATATTTTACTCAACGATTCTTTATGAATTTTAATGATGTTTTTAATAAAATTAGTGGTTTTTCTACTTAGGTTATTTTAGGTACCATAAAATTGTGGAATGAATCGCGTATTAGAAAAATGAATGGAACAAATTCTTTAATATGCGTTTTATATTGCAGCGTGTTCCAATCAAAATGAACAATTTGCCTATTTAATAGCGGTAATGACGAAGAGCTGATTTTCTTTCCTGAGTCGTGTCAGGTGGCGCAGGATACATGATAAACCTACGGTGATTTGGACATTAATCTAGTAGAGAAAGATCGGGTAAGCATTAAATAGATAATGCCATGAAGAGAATGCCGAAAAAGTTTGAATCCAAGATATTTGTTCATCACTCATGGCACAAGTTGATTTCACAAATATTTACACATTTATATTAGCCCGCACAAAAATACTTTAACTCACCTATTTGAGAATATTTTTATATAGAACATTGCTTATATGATAATAAAATATTGTTCCGCTCAAAAAGAACTTAGAAGCTACTAAATTTATTGATATAATTTTCAAAACTTTATACTCCAAGTTCACGTAATGGTAAATATAATATAGAACATAAAGTTGGCTGAACCTATAAATTCTTGAGAATATAGGTTCGACACACAAAATTTTGGGGTGAACTTGGAGATATCGCGAGTCCGAGTATAGTTGGCAAATTTTAAATAAAGTCGTTCCATGGCAAGGAACGACTCATTAGAGATATCTGAAAAATCTATAAGAAACCCCCGCCTCATCATCCATGATACGAAAACCCTTATACTAAACACCAGAAAACCCACTTTCATGAACCCGGTTAAATTAGCCAGAAGCTAAAAAAGAAGATTTATCCACATGTCTTATACCTAATAAATCAAACGACTGCTGCAGCAAATTATAGCCACACGATATAAGTATAAGCGCTTATTATAGCCCTTCTCAAAAATAGCTTAACCAGTCCTTATTTTACTCTACGCTGGTGTACATAAACTACGCAACCTTAACGGTCGCCGAACAAAGATTTGAATTCAGCCACGTGACCACTTGGTTGGTGATCGCGTCCCTTAAGTATGCCAAAGCGTTTCAAAATACCAAATAAGGGAATACCTACATCGTTTTTGGCGGGGAAAAAAATACTAGCGGCAGTTAAATCGGCACACATGGTGCCTTGATTAACCATAAAGCGTAACACGTCCTCAGAAACATCCTGCTTGTAGTTGAGTGAAAAAGCAACGTCTTTGGCCGCGACAAAAGAGGGAAGGGCCTTGAAAGGGGAGGAGCTAAGCGTCACCGAAAGATTCTTCGTGATAATATTCAGGGTGTTTTTAAACCCGCTACCCGCCGCTTGGCTTACCGTGGTAGTGTCAAGCGTATCTCTGGTCTAATCTACGAGGAGACTACTAGTGTCCTTTAGATCTTTTAAGAGAACGTCATTCATGAGATACACACGTATAAAAGCTTTGGATGTAATCAAACATGACTTAACGACCTTTTGTCACCGTCCGTAGGGTTTTCTTGGATTAAATAATGTATCAAAGGGTAACCAAGACGAACAGTATGCGTTTAGCAGGTTATATACGCACGACAAAGACTTTGGATGACGGATAATAAATGTTTCCTATGTCATTTCATTTAACCCACGTATTAAGCGTGAATCTACTGAAACGATATTAAAATTAATTTAGAAGATACAAAACATGGTTTTATTCGAACAGACAAGCAATCCTGTAAAAGGCCGTTTGTGTAGACTAAAGAGATCATTCCTAGTTTTGTTGACCAGAAAAGCCCTGGTGTTCAGCAGAGGTATTTACGGAGATTATTAATTACCATGGGATTATTGTGCAGGATCGAATGCATTTGTTTGCTATTTGAGAAGTAAATGCCGCGTTTATATAGCATCCTGTCACTTATCAGATACGATCTATATAAATATATTATGTTAAATCGATTAAAGAAATGTTAAAGAATGCTTCTAATATATGATCCTATAACATCTGGTGGCCCTGAAAAGGGCCGTTTTTTCAATTACGAGAGTCTTAAGCCTGGGCCTTCTCGGTCTTCTTAGGCAGAAGGACAGCCTGGATGTTGGGTAGGACACCACCTTGGGCGATGGTCACGCCAGATAGAAGCTTATTTAATTCCTCGTCGTTACGGATGGCCAACTGTAAATGTCGAGGGATAATCCTGGTTTTCTTGTTGTCACGGGCGGCGTTGCCAGCCAACTCCAGGACCTCAGCGGCGAGGTACTCAAGGACGGCAGCAAGGTACACGGGGGCCCCAGCCCCAACACGTTCGGCGTAACTGCCCTTGCGCAGCAGACGGTGGATACGACCGACGGGAAACTGAAGTCCCGCACGCGTAGACCTGGTCTTTGCCTTCGTCTTGGATTTTCCGCCTTTTCCGCGTCCAGACATGGTTTCGTTCGATTTAGGTACAACAAACACGAGATGGTTTATTACCAAGCCAGCCATCCGTCGTTTGGCTCGTCGTGGAGGTGTCAAGCGTATTTCCGGTTTGATCTACGAGGAAACCCGTGGTGTCCTCAAGGTCTTCCTGGAGAACGTCATCCGTGACGCTGTCACTTATACCGAACATGCCAAAAGAAAGACCGTAACCGCTATGGATGTTGTCTATGCCCTCAAAAGGCAAGGACGCACCCTCTACGGCTTTGGTGGTTGAACTGGACTGATGATCAAGGACTCACTGTCCGTAAAAAAACGGCCCTTTTCAGGGCCACCAAATCTTACAAAATCAGAAACATTTTATCGCATCACATTATATAGCTTGGACTGTTAAAGCATTATTTTAATTTTTTTTAACACCAATGAAAACAGGGTTTTGTATATGACATTATATAATAATACCCCTTGTGTCAAATGCCAGTCATTTCATTAAAGTTCACTCTAGGTCAGACCAGGAGCGATTAATTAGTTTCTTTGTTATGCATGCGTGCCGGATTACTACAATACCTTCATTAATTACAAAATACCACTCTGCTCCAATATTTGATTATGTATCGTCTTTTTTTCCTTTGTTCATGAGTACATCGGGTCTCAACAGTAAATTCCCATAAGACTCAATGTAACAACATCGGCTTAAGAGATATATCGAGAACTTGTGTAATTTATACAAGAGGTAAAGGTGGCAGTATAACATTAGATTAACGTAGTAATGTGTCACGTCAAATTTAATGAACGTCGTGAAGTATGCATGATGTAGCGTCAAATTTATATACAAGTGATTATCATGTATGAAGTTGTTGATAAAATGGGCTATACTTACGAAATCGAGTTTCTGAAGGGATTTTAAGATACAGTCAGATGAATCGACGAATTTAGAATAGAAAAACTCAATGCAAACGTTATAGATATCGATTCATGTTTTTACCTCGTTATGCGTTGGGAAACTGAAAAAACAAAGAAATCCTCGTAAAACTTACTGACTAAATTCAAGTTATTTTTCTAGACATAGTTGTCTGAATAAAAAATTGTCTTCGCACTCCTCAGAGTTCCGACAATAATATGTAACTATAAGTTCCGCTTGTTCGAGGTTTTGGGCAGCGAACGACACTGCAAACTGAACGACAAAGCATTAGTAATTAAAAATAGCTATTAAATATAATTATGGGGATTTGTGAATAAGGTGCTTGAGAATACATTATTATGGATGTTGGACATTTGTGTCTTTTTTTTTTAAATTTAAGATCGTATATGTGTCATTATTTTGTCTAAGCCATCTTAAAATGTTTGTTTTTTTCAGTTAGATACTTGACCGTCCATGGAAATGCATAGAGAGATTAGTAATTATAAAGCGCATGAGTTCATAAGCGAAATGCTCATTATGTGTGATCTCATAAAATAAGGTGGCCCTGAAAAGGGCCGTTGTTTTTGACAAGAAGTTTCTTATGCCTGGGCCTTTTCGGTCTTCTTGGGCAGAAGGACAGCCTGGATGTTCGGCAAGACACCACCCTGAGCGATGGTCACGCCAGACAGAAGCTTATTCAACTCCTCGTCGTTACGGATGGCCAACTGAAGATGCCGGGGGATAATCCTGGTCTTTTTGTTGTCACGGGCGGCATTGCCAGCCAACTCAAGGACTTCAGCGGCGAGATACTCAAGAACGGCAGCAAGGTACACGGGGGCACCAGCTCCGACACGCTCCGCATAGTTGCCCTTGCGGAGCAAACGGTGGATACGACCTACAGGAAACTGGAGTCCCGCACGCGAAGACCTGGTCTTGGCCTTCGTTTTCGACTTCCCCCCCTTTCCGCGTCCAGACATGGTTTCGTTTGGCTCAAGCACAACAAGAACAAGATGATTCGAAGTTTTACTGAGTCGTATTTATAGGCATTGTGAGCGCGCCACTGGGAGAGCGGAGCGTCTTTCACAAGTACGCCCTTTCCACTTTGGCTTTGTTGTCGGCGCAGCGAATCATGATAAATAGCAGCTGGTCGAAGGGTGCCCTCATTCGAGTGACAATGCCGCCCGCACCGTCAGGAAAGGCTGTGAAAAAGGCCGGTAAGGCCCAGAAGAATGTTCGCGCTACGGACAAAAAGAAGAAGAAGCGCAGGAGGAAGGAGTCCTTTTCCATCTACATCTACAAGGTCCTTAAACAGGTCCACCCTGACACCGGTATCTCCTCGAAGGCTATGTCCATCATGAACTCGTTTGTGAACGACATATTTGAGAGGATCGCCGCCGAGGCCTCCCGTCTGTCCCATTATAATAAGAGGTCGACTATCACCTCTCGGGAGGTTCAGACCGCCGTTAGGCTCCTGCTTCCTGGTGAACTGGCTAAGCACGCCGTGTCTGAAGGCACCAAGGCCGTCACTAAGTACACTTCTTCCAAGTAAATCGTCGGTTCTTCGGCACAAAAAACGGCCCTTTTCAGGGCCACCAGGTTTTACGAGTTCAACCACTTTACAACCTCTTCATATTCTTCGTGTTTCGAGATGGTGTCCAAAGTGAATGCCGAGCCTGTTATAGTAAAAAATGCGGATTTTTTGTATTTTGAGATAGATTTTTGTTACATGTGTGTGTTGGTCTTTTCTCACAAACTTCCTAATTCAAACTTTTGAAATGAACTGTGCTATACCGTTTTGCTTGTATTCTAGTGAGTCTAAAGAAGGATGCTTTTTTGATCAGTACTTCAATCAAGCGGCCAAATGAATGTTACAAACTTATTTCTAAGATGCTGAACTTCCCATGTGTGAATTAATCATTTTTGCATTTAGGAAAACTGTGTAACCCTTTAAGTAACTTAAGATTAATTCTAAAACATTCTGTTATGTTGTATTTATTATTCGTATTTAAACTACAAAGCGTCTGATCTTTTAGGATGTGGTGGCCCTGAAAAGGGCCGTTTTTTACCGAATAATCAGTAATTTAAGCACGCTCTCCGCGGATACGACGGGCAAGCTGGATATCCTTGGGCATGATGGTGACACGCTTGGCGTGGATGGCGCACAGGTTGGTGTCCTCAAATAGGCCGACAAGGTAGGCCTCGGACGCCTCTTGGAGGGCCATGACAGCCGAGCTCTGGAAACGTAGATCAGTCTTGAAGTCTTGAGCAATTTCACGGACAAGACGCTGGAAGGGCAGCTTCCGGATTAAGAGCTCAGTCGACTTCTGGTAACGACGGATCTCACGGAGAGCGACGGTACCGGGCCTATAACGATGAGGCTTCTTCACACCGCCGGTGGCCGGGGCCGATTTGCGGGCAGCTTTGGTGGCCAGCTGTTTACGCGGGGCCTTTCCACCAGTCGACTTACGAGCGGTCTGCTTGGTACGAGCCATAACTTCGTTCCCTTAACAACAGCGTTATGGCGCGGTCAAGCTACTCCATTGCTTATATAGCGATTGGGGCGAGGGTGTACTCAGACTTGCAGCGCCCCCTGGGAGGACGCGTCAGCAACCATTGGAAATCGAAAAATTTCCCAAACTTCATGTGCTCTGCTGTCTGTATTTCAGCTGTGTTAACCAACGAGTTTCTTTTTTTTGATCTCTGATATTTTGTTGTTCGTCAAACTTATTTATATCAATTACTTGGAATCGACAAGAATATCTTTTTAACTAACATTAACAAAAACAAGATCATTAGGACTTACGGTTTGAAACTTGAATAATCAGTCAGTGAGCAATAGTATGCCGACTCTGTTAACGCATGTAATTAGAATTTGGACTATGAGATTCTGCACGACAGTACTACTAGAATTAATTTAGTCGAGCCGGTAACAAGGAGCGTCTTCAGACGAAAAATAATTATTATTGACTTTATTCAAACCAATGTCAACTTTTACTCAAAAAATTATTAACTTATTAATGTAACTACTTAAATGTTGCTGGTTTGAGGTACCCAAGCTAACGCATCCAAAGATAAAAAAAATCAGGTCAACGAAAAACAATTCGAAATTGCGTCGAATCACATGATCCATTCGATGCTTGCGCCCCTGGGGGCGCCAAAACTTTGTACCGATAAGAGAGGAGGACTAACCTTTGGGTCTTCTGATTGGCTAGCCAATATGCAGCATTTTTTGGCGATCACAGCGCCATCACATGCGGTGCTCTTTCCGTCTTTAAATAGAACGACAGCAAACAAGACAAAAGCATATTTCGTTCAGCTAATAAGCTGCTACCGTACAGTTGGATTTTGTATCTAAGTTCGCTTCTGACTTGAAGGTATTTGGTAAATATCCGGCGTTGTAAGTGGCTGCATATAGTTAACTGAATGTTCGAGATGTTCTGAACAAGGTAGACGTGACCCATAGATAAGTACTAAAGTAAATGTAACGTTCGTTCGTACCAGGACCAAACAGAAAAGTTGGGAGTGATGTCAGATTTGCGCAATGAGTTGATCCTCAACTTTCTGAAATCCAAAAGTGCTTTAAGAACGACTCGGTTACATATTTCGAGTTCCATATCCGGTTCAACATTACCACAAAGGTTTGGGTTCTTCCAGCACGAATCAGCGTATGCCTAACCTCATCACGCGTTCCTAAGGTATTATTAGAGCATCATCACGGGAATCAGGGCGGCTCACTTCGTTATTATGTTCTAATTATAAAGTCAATATGGCTGTCATACAGTCGGGTGGACATAGGCATGTTGAATATAGCTAACACGTATTTACTTTATTTATTTATTAATTGCTTATGTTAATTTTGTGCTTTTAAATATTAACAAAAAATTTCCATCTATATGTGTTCATGTTGCAAAGTATTGAGCATGTTTATCCGTTAGGTTAAGTTTAAGGAACTTTAAGGAACTATATACTAGCACGTGCCGGGCTCGACCTTCAAGAGATTAGTGATAAGAGTTTCTGTATTTCCAATACTGTCAATTAACACCTATATGCATACCGGTTTGTGGCTAGCTTGACAAGTTTTGTTCCCAATCTTTATTAAGTGCTACGTGTCTGTCATGCGTCGGACGCCATTCTGTACCCATTTTGCACGTTAGCCACGTTTTCTCCAATGCAGTCCTTTCACACTTTTTAATGAGTGAGTGAGTAATCAAACAAATCCATACCTCCACAACTATCAAACAATATCATTAAGCTTAACTAGCCCTATCTATTAAGATTTTTCCCAGCGAAGAACATTTGCTCCACTTATATGTATATTGATTATAGTCATTTTTACCCATCATCACTATGACTTTTATTATAACGATCATGATTTCGAGCTTTATTTTTACTCGTTTAATAACATTTTTTCCGTTTCGTATTTTGCTCATGCTCTAGCAACTGTTGCATCGGCCCTTTATTCTGGAGACCCTTCTGGCAACTTCGGACTCCCTGTGTTTTCTCTTTGTTTCACGACACTGTGTCCACGGTCCCGTCCGACCATTTACTTGTCCACGTCCATACATTCATCTAGCGGGCGAAGCCCCCATCCCTTGTCGCACGCACATACAAAATCTTATATATATATAGGGGCATATATTATTTGGGTGCGTTTGTAAATGATGGGCTTATGGCTGTGTGGAAATAGAGCTGTTTGCACCAACGCGATGTCTGTCTGTATCGCGGTAGGTTAGTCTCGCCTAGAGGCTGGTATCGCAGGTGTGCTAGGTGCAGTCAGTTTCTGCGAGTCCACAGCTGGTAGCTAGCTAATTTGGCGTTGGCTGTGATACCGTAAGATGATTCCGAAGATTTGTTTCTATAAAGGATTAGCCAAAGGTTAGTTCGCATAACAAGGCTCTGGTTTCTGGTCAAAATATTTGCCTAACTATGAAATGAACCTTTACTTCACGGCTACTGCCGGTGCCGTCGGCGTTTTTGCGATGGTAGGGACGGCGCTGTGTGACATTCGAAATCTGCGGGAGAGAACGTTATAGCCACGCGCACCGTCATACCCGTTACCGGCACAAATATTACCACCGAAGTCACTAACCAGCGCAGACGACGACAACGACAAAGCTAATAACTGCAATGATCATAGCAGCTGATACGATACATACAGCGTAAACCGCACAAGTAACGCCAGCAGAATCAACCTGCCGCAGAAGCGTCTGGCCAGTCGTTTACCAAACACCGCGAGCGACGATCGAAGAGCAATCGCAGTGGTACAAGTGGTAGCGGTAGCGAAAAACAAAGTTGAAGCGAAAGTACGCTACGCACGCCGCTGTCGCGTCGTTGCAGTTCGTCTTTTCGGTCGGCCGTCCAGAATCAAATAATAATAATGATTGAAGCGACGAGATTTGAGTTTTTGCTTTTATTTATTTATTTATTTTTTTCACTTCTGTAGCTGTGGCTTCTGCTTATTATTCCGTTGTTGTTGACGTCTAGCGATATTCGGTTGTCGTTGCCACTGAGAACAGGGGACGGCTTACCGACTACCTGAGGACATTTAATGTAAAAAGCGATTCACGTGGAGACTAGTGATGGCCTGCATAGATAAGGACATCTGGGGGTGTGCACCTCCACGTTGATGTGTCTCGGGGCAGTTTGTCAATGGATAATGGTTTCATCGTAGAGATCAGTAGAGTGGCATAATCACGCACTAAGTGTGCAGCATTGGTCAATCAGGACAGCGTAGGTATATGTGACATTTTGGTACATGCGAAAAAATGACGGTCTTCGAAGACGGAATTTTAATCTTGTAGATCATGCCTACTGCTTATAAGAGGAATTTATTATGTAGATAGTTTGATGAAGAGTAAACATCTTTTTCCTTGCTGCCACTCGGGGACAGGAGCTGAATGAAGAAAGTGAACCCTGCGAAATGTCACATATAGGTACGTTACCCAACGAAATTCGCACCGGCAGTTACCGGTGATCGAATCTCATGAAGGCAGTCCGGACGTCGTAATTTCAGGCAGCTAGCGTAACAGTAGCTGAAAACAATTGGTAAAATCGGGCTTTTGATTATGGCTATGATGAAATGACCGATTCTAAAACAACCGAGAGTCTTGTTTACGCATCGGATGGACTATAAGGGGACCGTCCCCATCAAGCAGGTCTATCTTCGCGCCGTTGACGCTATTGGCGAGGAAGTGTCATAGCTTACGTTAGCGAATGACATCGAGGTCATGCGACGATTCGTGCCTCAATGTGTCCGTACTATGTAGGAAGTGTGCTTATCACTGCTTGTTGTTATGTTAGTTTTTTTGTTATTATTTGAAATATCCGGCCGATTAGTTCAGCTGTGCTAGGTATTATTTTCCTGTTGCGTTTGGGATTCTGCTCGTATGTACATCTAGATCTAGTTATCGTCTCCATTGATACGAGCGCTACGAAGGCTTCTGTAATAATGTTCTATGTTAACAATTAAATCGTGTGCAAGTGCTACGATATATAATTGGCAATAGTAATCGATTATAATAATATCTATGGCATGTTTACAGGGGGTATCAGTGGATTTATTTATACATGAGAAGTGTGCAAATATGCGCTCAACATCTAAGAACGACTAGAAATCAAACAACAGTCCTGCTTAATCCCTGCCGAAGAAA